TTGGTCCAGCACCTGTACTACTGCAGCCGCCTCCTGCTGGTGAGACTAGTGGCATCCCCCCTACACTCCTTTTACCTCAGGGAACTCTCCACACCTGCTCTGAGTTCCATCCCCAATGCCCCAGGTCCCTGGCATCTGGCTCTTACTGAATACCTCCCACACTCTGGCTCCCTCTAATCTCTCCTAATGCATGCTGGGACTTGTAGTCTCTGGGCTTCACTCTCCCCAAGTTCTACCTTGAGATCTGAGCTACTTGGCCACCCCTATTCTCCAGAAACTGGGCACATTTGGGCCCCTACGCTGTCAGGAGGCATGGGCCCTGGAGCGACTGCTGCGGGAGGCCCGAGTGCTCGAGGTTGTATGCGAGCTAAGCAGGCGATGGGAAATCCCTGCTACTTCTGCTCAGGAAGGTAAAGGCCCTGTGGGTTCTGGCTTGGTGACTGCCCTGAAGCTCCTTCCTTGTTCTACGCCACCTACACTTGTCTGCCCACCTGCCTACTCGGTTGCTGACGGTCTCTTGCACCTCCTCACAGTGGTGCAGTTCTCAGCCTCTCGGCCTGGCTTCCTGACCTTCTGGGACCAGTGCACAGAGGGACTTAGCCCCTTCATCTGCCCTGTGAAGCAGGTGCTCCTCACCTTCTGCAATCAGTATGGTGCCCGGCTCTCCCTGCGCCAGCCAGGCTTAGCTGAGGCTGGTAAGTAGGCTGCCTACCTGCCCCCTCTGCCCTCCCTTCTCAGATCCCCAGTGATGGGACCACAGGGAAAGCCAGGTCAGCTCACACAGACGTGCTGAGCTGAGCATTGAGAAGAAATAGCAAAGGCTTGTGCCTTGGTGCAAGAGGACCCAGATGGGTAGGGTTTGGACAAGGGGCCCCTGGAGCTGAGCCTGGGGTGGGAGCACTCTTTCCTCTAAGGGCTTGGGTCCATCCAAACCCTGAGGTCTTTGGCACTGCTTCCCACAGTGTGTGTCAAGTTTCTGGAGGATATGCTGGGGCAGAAGCTGCCCAGGAGGCCCCAGCCAGGCCCTGGAGAGCAGCTCACTGTCTTCCAGTTCTGGAGTTATGTGGAAACCTTGGACAGCCCCTCTATGGAGGCCTATGTGACGGAGACCGCTGAGGAAGGTGAGGCAGTAGCCCTGATCACCAAGTGCCCAACACTATGTGTGGGCCTTGAGGTCTGGATGAGGACATGAATGTACAGAAGATCCCACCCCAGGAAGCTCCTTGCCCTGCTACATTGTTCCAAGGTCCTTCTTTCAGTGTTACTGGTGCAGAACCTGAACTCAGATGATCAGGCTGTTGTGCTCAAGGCCCTGAGGTTGGCACCTGAGGGGCGGCTACGAAGGGACGGGCTTCGGGCCCTCAGCACCCTGCTCGTCCATGGCAACAACAAGGTCATGGCTGCTGTCAGCACCCAGCTCCGGAGCCTGTCACTAGGCCCAGCCTTCCGGGAAAGGGTGAGAGTGGGGCAGGGCTCCCTTGAAGGCAAAGGCTGGGGTCCCAGGCTCCCAGTGTCTGGCTAAGTGCCCTCCTACCCCTACCCAGGCCCTACTGTGCTTCCTGAACCAACTCGAGGATGAGGACGTGCAGACAAGAGTGGCTGGCTGCCTGGCCTTAGGCTGCATCAAGGTGATCCCTGCCAACCAACCCCTTTATTTCCCCTGGGGACCCCCCAACCCTGGGCCTTGGGCTTTTTCATCTGCTCCAGGGGGCCCACCTCCGTGCTTCCTCCTCTGATAGGCTCCCGAGGGCATTGAGCCCCTGGTGTACCTGTGCCAAACGGACACAGAAGTTGTGAGGGAAGCTGCTCGGCAGAGCCTGCAACAGTGTGGTGAGGCTGGGGGCTGGGAGATAAAGGTCAAGTAGAGTTCTGGGACATTTTGGCTGATGGGGGTAGGGGTGAGATGGGGTCAAGGGTGGGAGGACCAAGGCTAGGGCTACTCCTGATTCCATCCTTACTCATTGCAGGGGAAGAGGGACAGTCTGCCCACCGACGGCTAGAAGAGTCGCTGGATGCCCTGCCCCGCATCTTCGGACCCGGCAGCATGGCCAGCACAGCCTTCTAAACTCCCCACACACTGGCTCTCAGTGCCACATCCCCCCACTTTCAGGGCTCACCAGGTGGCAGGGAGGGTGAGGGCTGGTTCCAGACACCCCTCCCCCAAGTATTCCTATCCAAGAAAATCTAATATATTCTTCAGTTGCCCTTGGGGTTGGTAGAGTCAGTGCCTGCAGTCAAGTGCCTCCCAGCCTCAGCTCAGCACACTTGTCACAGATCAGTGCCCCGGGCCTGGCCATCCTGCCTCTGCCCCATCACCTCCCTTGGTTTTGTATTTTATTTACAGAGTTTTACAGAAAATAAAAAAGCAAAATGCCTTTCCTACATGGCCTGACCTAGTGTACTCCTGATCTTCTGGTTCCAGCACCCTTTGGCTGTGGCCTTCCTGACATGCCCACTCTCCAACTGTGACAATGACATGTGCTTTTGCCCTGGAAATCTGGGTGGAAGAGAGCCCAGGGGCTGGAAGTGGGCTTGAAGAAGAGGGCAGAGAAAGAGGGTGGTAGCGTGTTGCTGAGGATCAGCCTGCTGGCTGGGCATGCTCTGGGCCTGGAAGCTAGGGGCCCAGGCTGGAGCCAAACCACGGAGTTGGTCTAGAGAAGGCCCAGAGTGCCAGTCCTGGGAATGGCTCCCCAGCGGCTAGCACCCTGCTGCCAGGAGGCAAAGGGGAAAAAGCAGGCAGAGAAAAAAGGCGTGGTGGTGGCTGGAGCTCCTGGCCACCAGGGGGCAGCAGAACCCTGTCCGAGAATGCCAGGCTTCTAGATTTCCCCTCAGCCCTGGCAGCTTCCTACAGAGGGCACTGAGCACTAGGAGCTCCTTGAGGGCTGGGTAGTAGAGAGCAGATCCTTGCAGAGGGGAAGAGCTAGGGCCTGCGCGGCAGGAGACCAGGATGGCTGCCCAGTGACCCTAAATAACAAGTCCCTCCTCTACCCAAGCCACCTCCTCTCTGTAATAACAAACCTGACTGAACCCCGTGGTCCTCCGCAGCCAGCTGACCTGTTTTGCTTTGGGAAGCAGGGCTCCAGGGAGGGTTCATCTCCTCCCCAGAGGTGCCGCATGTTAAGTGTGTTAACCCCAGAAGGCAAAGAGCTCTATGGGAGGAACTGGAGGGTGGGGTGGGATTTCAGGATGGCAGGCCTGTTCTAAGGAGGGCCTGAGGGAGGCCCACACCCAAGGCTGGAGAAACTGGCCCTCCACCCTTCCCTTCTCACTCCAGAGCTTTCATTATCCAGGGGCAAGGGAGACGGTGCACAGGCAGGGCCTTCCCCAATCCTGGAGTCCACCGTGACACACGGGGGAAAGTGTGCACCTGCACTCAGGCAGAGCTAATGAGGTGCCAACAGTCCCTCCTTGTGAGGGGCGGGGGGGGGGGGGGGGGTGACCCAGATCCCCAGGGAGCCCCGCCCCCCATGTTTTGGAGCTGTGTATAAGAGGTTTGGCTGGCCCTTAACCACCTGCTGGGGAAGCCACGCTGAGCAGCAGAAAAAAAAAAAAAAAGAAAGAAACGGCAACAGGAAGGAGCACAGGAAACACCTGTGTGTGGATGCAGGTGGCTCATTCCAGTCGAGTGGGGTTGCGGGCGGGCAGACAGCCCTCAGCACTTAGGCACAGCTCCGTGCTCCCTCTGTAACTGTGAAGGGTGTCATGGGAGGGATGGTGTGTAGTTCAGCTTTTTGGGGTGGTAGCCTGGCTGGGATGGCAGAGGGTAGAGAAGGCAAACAAGTGGTAGAGACCAAGCCAGCGCCCAGAGCCGGCCACAGCTTGGGCCTGCTTCAAGGTCCCCTGCAGGAGGGTTGCAGTCCAAGAACCAACCCTGTGGCCCCACTGGTAGGGCAGGACTGTCCACTTGCATCCAAAGCACAGCCTGTGTGGTGGGGAAAGAGGAAGTAAACACTGGCTGACTGGGTTCTGGGAAAGTGCAGATGGCTGACTGGGCCGGCAGGAGTGCACACAGCTCAACCCACAGGAGAGGACAGCCTCGTCGAGAAATGTAGGGTGGAAAAATCATCCCAGTTGAGGGTCGTCTGGAACTGTCACAGTGGCCCTAGATCACTGCTTGCCAATGCTAGAAATGGATAGGGCTCTTAAGTTTCTATCCCCTATACGGAGAGTCCTCAGGCCACAGCCTAGCATCCAACCCTAGCCAAGGGTCAGGGCAGGTACTGTGAGCATAGCCAGGTACAGGTAAAGGACTGTCAAAGCCAAGACAAAAAAGAGCCTTAATCCTTTGCCCCATCAAGCCTACCTAGTTTAGAGCAGTGTGGATCAACTGCTCAATCCCTCTCCACCAGCAACCTGAAGTCAGACTGGATGGCCTCCTGCATCCAGGCCCATGCCCAGGTCTGCAAGGTGACAGAGGGCAGGGAGAGTCCCTGTCCACCCTCCTGTACAACATCCCCTCCCTCAACACACACAGCTTCACAGGTGCCTCCCACAGGGCAAAGCTGCTGCTTCAGGACTCCTCACTCCCCACCCTGCTGTCATACGGGTTCAGGGAGGCATTCATTCCTACTGCCCCACACTCCTTAGCGTCAGGAGCCTTCTGCCAGCTGATGGGAGGTTGATGATACCATCTGAGTCAAAGGCAGCTGGGTAGGGAAAGTCTGTGCCCGCCTGTTCTGTGTAAGCCTCTGTGGGGTGAACAGAAGGAAGTGGGCCTCCCAGGCCTCTGACACCCTCCCAGGACCCCATCAATCAAGTCCATCAAGGCCACAGCCATGCCTTGGCTGTCATCATTGGACTCTTCCTGGGAGGAAACTGATAAGAGTGCACTGTAGAAAAAAGGGGCCAGGCTGAGGTAGTCCAGGATCTGATTTATTGTGTTGGTGGTCACTGGAGGCTCACCCCCGCTCCCCACCCCACCCCACCGCCACTCTCCTCCTTTCCTCTTGTCCTCTTCCAACCTTACCTTTCCTCCTGTCTCCCACTCTTCTTCCTCATGTATTCAAAGCTGCAGAGAACCAAAAAGAAGAAGAAAAAAAGGCATGTTTGTGAAGGCAAAGCAGATGGGAAGAGGACTGCTGCTTAGTCTCACCCACAGAGCGGGGGTGATTTTCTTGTGTTTCTATGCCTGGTGTGTGGGTACAATTTGCTGAACCCTCAGCATATGACATGTTCCCTCCTTTCCTTCCTTATGCCTTCTGCCCCCTGACAGCCTTGAAGTATCCGGTTCAGGCCATACACCCACCATGGACAGAAGGCTTGACTGCTAGACCTGGGTCTTTTGGGCCTGGTTAATACAGGAGGGTGACCTTGGGAGGCACTCCAGGGCCTGTAAAAGTGCTAAGGAAGGACAATCTATCAGTAAGAAAATAAGACGGTCAGCGGCCTACAAGAAAGGGGCCTCTTGTTTCAGAAGACTGTACTGGGGTGATGGCCATGGTTTAAGTTTGATGTCAACAGTTAAGTCTCACTTGTCTCTGAATGCACCCAGGACATATGGAACCTCAATAAATGCTGACTTACAGCAGCTGAGTAAGCAGATGAATTGCTATAGCTAACACCTACGTTTCTGGTTATTTCCTCTGAGTCTCCTTAAAACCTCCTCCTCCTCAAGCATCATTATACAAACATCACTCCACCGGATTCCATTCTAGGCCCTTTTCTCCTTGCTCTTGAAACACACTCCCTGAACCACCTTCTCCATCCCCCTGCCTGCCATCTCTAAGCTGAGGCCAGTGATTGACATGGCACTCTCCTCCCCTCCAGACCCCCATATCTCCAAGTGCTGACGGACTAGACACTCCTTTTGAACAGCATGCTCCAAATCACTCAACATCTCAAACTCGTTTTCTCCTCCAGGGCTCTTGGGGTTACCAACTGCTCAGATATCCAAGCAACACAACTGAGCCTCATCCTTGACTTTTTCTTCTGTCCCCTCATTTCAGCCACTGGAATCCTCTCAATTAAATGCCCTAAATATTACTAAATTCTACCCACTTCTCTTTCTCGTCATTGACACCACTCAGATCCAGGACACGATGGCCTCTCATGTAGACACTAAAACTGCCCCCCTCACAGGCTTCCTGCCCCTGGTCTTGCCCCTCTTCCATGCATTCTCCATAGTGCAGTCAGAGTGACTTCTAAGACATAAACCACCACTACGGGCTCTCCGTTAGGGAAAATTCCAACACCCTCGACCTGGCTCACAAAGCCCTTTGAGTCTATTCCCCTCTCCAGCCTCACTTCTACCACCTAACTTCTCGCTCTGCACTGAAGACTCAGGGCAGGGCTTGCTTGCCCCATCGTGGTACACTCTTCCTGCTCCTCATCTTGCCTTGTTAATAAGCCTGTTCACTTGAAAGGCTTCAACCTAGACATCCCAGATTTCTCCAGGAAGCCGCCCCTCCCTGTGCTCTTGTCACAGGAGCCTGTGCTTCCCCAGTAGGATACTAATTCCACCCCACTGCAATTGCTCATTTACTTTGTATTTGCCAATGTACAGGGTGGGGCAAAACTAGGTTTACAGTTGTGAGTACGTGAAACAGTTTATCCTTGTATTATTAACTAGAGGCCCGGTGCACAAAAATTTGTGCACTCGGGGGGAGGGGGAGGTCCCTCAGCCCGGCCTGTGCCCTCTCGCAGTCTGGGACCCCTCGGGAGATAACGACCTGCTGGCTTAGGCCTGCTCCCGGGTGGCAGAGGGCAGGCCCAATCCCTAGGTGCAGCCCCTGGTCGGGCTCAGAGCAGGGCCGATTGGGGAGTTGGGGCGCCGCCCCCGTCATGCACAGAGCAGGGAGATTGGGAGGTTGTGATGCCACCCTCAGTCACGATCAGGGTAGGGCCGATTGGGGGGTTGGGGCACCGTCCCGTCACACTCAAGGCAGGGTTGATGGGGAGGTTGCAGTGCCACCCCGTCATGCACAGAGCAGGGCCGATCAGGGGGTTGGGGCACTGCCCCCTGTCACTCACAGAGCAGGGCCCATCAGGAGGGTTGGGGCTCTGTACCCTGTCACGCACAGAGCAGGGCTAATCAGGGGGTTGGGGTGCTGCCCCCGTCACCCACAGAGCAGGGCCCATCAGGGGGTTGGGGCACCACCCTCTATCACCCACAGAGCAGGGCCGATCAGGGGGTTGGGGCGCCACCACTCTCACACTCAGGGCAGGGCCGATGGGGAGGTTATGGCTCTACCCCGTCACACACAGAGCAGGGCCCATGGGGGGGGGGGTGCTGGGGAGCTCCCCCCTATCAGGCACAGAGCAGGGCTGATCAGGGGGTTGGGGCGCCTTCCCCTGTCACAAACAGAGCAGGGTGGATAGGGAGGTTGTGGCCCCGCCCCCTGTCACACACAGAGCCGCAGGGCGATCAGGGGGTTTGGGCGCTGCCCCCTGTCACGCTTATCCTGTGCTGGGAGGCCTCATGGCTCCGCTGATCCCGGTGCTGGGAGGCATATTACCCTTTTACTATATAGGATAGAGGCCTGGTGCATGGGTGGGGCCAGCTGGTTTGCCCTGAAGGGTGTCCTGGATCAGGGTGGGGGTCCCCACTGGGGTGCCTGGCCAGCCTGGGTGAGGGGATGATGGCTGTTTGCAGCTAGTCACACATCCTTCAGGGTGGGGGTCCCCACTGGGGTGCCTGGCCAGTCTGGGTGAGGGGCTGAGGGCTGTTTTCAGGCTGGGGGTGACTGAAGCTCCCAACTGCTCCTTTTTTTCTTTTTTTTTTTTTTTAAATATATTTTATTGATTTTTTACAGAGAGGAAGGGAGAGAGATAGAGAGTTAGAAACATCGATGAGAGAGAAACATCGATCAGCTGCCTCCTGCACATCTCCTACCGGGGATATGCCCGCAACCCAGGTACATGTCCTTGACCGGAATTGAACCTGGGACCTTTCAGTCTGCAGGCCGACGCTCTATCCACTGAGCCAAACCGGTTTCGGCTTCTTTTCTTTTTTTTTATTCTGGGCCAGCTTTAGCTTTGCGGCTTGGCTCCAGCTCTTAGGCCTCCGTGGCTGAAAGTAGGTTTCTGGCCTTTGCTTACAATGTTGCGAATCTGCTGGCTGAAGTCCAGCGGTATTTGTTACAACGTTTCTTAAACTGCCAGCTCAGAGGCCTGCAGCAGCAGGCAGGGAATGTTGGTTTCCTCCAACGATCCTCCTCCGTCACTGAGGCAAGCAAACCTCATGTTAGTTTCAAGCTGCCTGGCTGCTGGCCGCCATCTTGGCTGACAGTTAATTTGCATATCTCGCTGATTAGCCAATGAAAAGGGTAGCGGTCGTACGCCAATGACCATGTTTCTCTTTTATTAGTGTAGATTGTTGTATTACAAACAACTGTAAAACTACTTCCCCCCTATTCTGTATATATCCATAAGTATTTGCTGACTCTTCTACTAGATAACAGGCACCACCTAAGTCCCTTATGGAGGTTGGTCCAAGTTTTTTGTTTTACTTGTTTTTAAACAGCTTTATTAAGATTTAGTTGCCGAAACCGGTGTGGCTCAGTGGATAGAGCGTCTGCCTGCGGACTGAAAGGTCCCAGGTTCGATTCCGGTCAAGGGCATGTACCTAGGTTGTGGGCATATCCCCAGTAGGAGATGTGCGGGAGGCAGCTGATCAATGTTTCTCTCTCATTGATGTTTCTAACTCTCTATCTCTCTCCCTTCCTCTCTGTGAAAAATCAATAAAGTGTATATATATATATATATATATATAAAAGATTTAGTCCACATACCATGCAATTCACCCATTTAAAGCCTACAGTTCAATGGCTTTTAATGTAGTCACAGAATTGAGCAATCATCACCACAATCGATTTTAGAGCATTTTCATCAACCCCCAAAAGAAACTGCACCCCTTAGCTATAATCCCTTGGGCCTTCACATCCCCCTATCCCCATCCCCACCCTGAAGCAACCACTAATCCAGTGATGGTGAACCTTTTGAGCCCGGCGTGTCAGCATTTTGAAAAACTCTAACTTAACTCTGGCGCCGTGTCACATATAGAAATTTTTTGATATTTGGAACCATAGTAAAACAAAGACATATTTTTGATATTTATTTTATATATTTAAATGCCATTTAACAAAGGAAAATCAACCAAAAAAATGAGTTCGAGTGTCACCTTTGACACGCGTGTCATAGGTTCGCCATCACTGCACTAATCTATACCTATACAGATTTGCCTATTCTGGATATTCTTTTTTAAAATATATTTTTATTGATTTCAGAGAGGAAGGGAGAGGGAGAAAAAGAAACATCAACAATGAGAGAGAATCATTGATCAGCTGCCTCCTGCACGCCCCACAACGGAATCAAGCCCACAACTTGGACATGTGCCCTTGACTGGAATCGAACCTGGGACCCTTCAGTCCACAGGCTGACACTCTATCCACTGAGCTAAATCAGCTAGGGCTATTCTGAATATTCTTATAAATGAAATAAGGTTAGGTCTTTCCAACTTACCCAGTTCTAAGATTCACCTGAGAACTGTCCTGGAGATTCAAATTCAGAGGTCTGGGGTGGGGTCAGGGAATCTGTATTTTTAAAAAAATGTATTTTATTGATTTTTTCAGAGAGGAAGGGAGAGGGATAGAGAGGTATAAACACTGATGAGAGAGAAACATCAATTCAGCTGCCTCCTGCACACTCCCTACTGGGGATGTGCCCGCAACCAAGGTATATGCCCTTGACCAGAATCGAACCTGGGACCCTTAAGTCCACAGGCCGACACTCTATCCACTGAGGGAATCTGTATTTTTAAAAAATATATATATTTCTTTATTGATTTCAGAGAGAAAGGGAGGAGAGAGAGATAGAAACATCAATGATGAGAGAGAATCATTGATCGGCTGCCTCCTGCACATCCCCCACTGGGGATGGAGCCCGCAACCCAGGCATGTGCCCTTGGCCAGAATTGAACCTGGGACCCTTCGGTCCGCAGGCTAATGCTTTATCCACTAAGCCAAGCCAGAAAGGGCGGGAACCTATATTTTTAACACATGTTCCAGGAAATTCTCTATTTAATTAGGTTGCATCTGTCTTTACTATCCCCAGCAACCAAGGTCAAATACAGATAGATGATCAAGATTAGCTTTTGATGAATACCTCTAACACTTGTATCTAGCGCTTGGCTCCCTATATCAAGGCTTCCTAAGTGATGTCTTGGTCTTATCTCAAACACAACCTCAAAACATTTCAAGTATGTTCAATGCAGAATAAGCCTGGACACTCAAAACATTCCCCATGGTCCCCCATAAAACACAGCTCTTTAGAATGCGCTGTTACCACCCCATCCCAATTAAGGAATGGAAGGGAAGCCTGATCAGGGGACAACATAGAGGGAGAGCTGTGAGACTGGTGGAGGAAGTAAGCAAACTGAATTCATAGGAGCCAGAGGGGGTAGAGTTAAAGAGGTAAGCAGGGGCTTAGTCACCCAGGCCTTCTGGAGTAGTTGAGGAGTTTGAAATTTACCCCCAGGGCACTGGGGAGCAATCCTAGGGCTTGAAGCAGGGGAATTTTGAGATCCTATCTCTGCTTTCCAAAGGTCACTCAGGCAG